GGACAATGATAAATGTAATATTTGTAATGTCACTGGAGACTCTATGCATTTCTTTGAGAACTGTATTATTACCGGGAGTGCAAGGGATAGATATCAAAAATATTATAGAAGTGATTTCAAGAAAAATTATAAGAACTTTGTGGAATATTCTAGACAAATTATGAAGATTGTGAATAGCTCAAGAGAAGCCATAGGAATCTATGTGTGAATGGTGTTTTTGTATTGTATTTGCTTGGTTATGTGTTGTCTTATTTTTTATTTTCTAACAGTTCTTTATTATTTTATTTTGTTCGTTTGTGTGAATGTTTAAGGTCCAGTGATGACATGAAATTCACTGGTCGTATTTATGATTTTGTTTAGTTCTCTTTTTTCTAACATTTTTGTTACTCGGTTCCTGGGGCTTTTGGTTTCTCGGGATTCATAGTTTAATATTTTATTTGTTTGTTTTTCTTTGTTAGTTTTTTGAGCACGGCCGGGTCTCTGGCCCCTCGTTTGTTGTTAGATGGGCCGGCCCTTGTGATAAGTCATATGACCAAGTGTTCTTGGTTGGGTGGGCTGAGGGCTGCGCCCCCGTTAATTCACCCTGTCATTGCTGCATTCAGAAGGCAAATGGTTGACAGGGAATGGAGAGGCATTCCTCAGGACACCACCCATTGTCTCACTGACTCAGTACCTAGACGTGTTGCTTTGTTTATCGCCATCCAATCTGGTCCTACAACCTACTGAGCCAATGCTGTTCTCACTCTGAATTATGTATATCATTTCGAAATAAAAATTACTTATGATCCATTTCTGTCTCTCTTTGTCTGCCGAGTATCATCACTTTCTGGCCACTCCATCTTGGTGTTGCATTTTTAATGTCGGGTAATATACGAGCATTCCTTAACCTTTAGAGTTCTGAATAAGCTTGGATCCTTTATTTCCAAGTTTTTATGCTTGCGCCTTAAAGAGCTATAGCCAATGTTACATCCAGGGATGAAATATGTTCCATTACATGCCTTATTTATAATGAAAATAAATATTAAATCAGTATTTCTGCTATTACTGCCTATGTAAAATACTACAATAAGGTGAATGGGTGATGAATGAAGCACCCTATATCAATAACATGACAGAAAACAGACCATATTTGGGAAAAGTGGTAATACGAGTTTCATCTCCTTTATACTCCATGACACAGACTTAATTAAAGGAAAACCTTACTGTTGAATTATACAGTGTATTAGTTTATAATTTCATTAAAAAAAATCTTAGATTGGCATGGATATCAAATAGCCCAAGGTTAGCTTTAGATTAACAGTGAAAATCTATTAAATTTTTTTTGTATAATTTTAAAATACGAGGGCTATCCAGAAAGTAGATTACGTTTTGGAATAAAAAAATAAACAAAGTATAGGAACAAATTTTATTATATACAGATAAAGCCACACTCAAATACTACTTTTTACATAGTCACCATACAAATTAAGGCATTTATGTAGCGATGTACGAGCTTGGAAATTCCTTCGTCGAAAAATTTCGGCCGCCTGCGCCTTCAACCACTCGTTACCTCTTCTTGCCTTCCATCTTGCAAAAACTGTCGTAACCAAGCTTTTCGCTGATGATTTCGTGCAACAAACTTCGCGAAATTTGTGGAAAACTCAAAGAAAGTTCCGTATTGTGAAATTTCGATTTCACGGACTTTAGCATCGACTTTTTCGAAGAGGTTCGGCGGTCACTATGCTGGGTCTCTCCCACTTCGATCTTCGTCTGAACATTGGTTCGGCCATTTTGAAATCTTATGACCCACTGACGCACTCCACCTTCAGTGATAATGTTGTCCCCATACACTTCACGAAGCTGCCGATAGATTTCTATCGGTTTACAGTTTTTTTGCAGTCAGAAACTTATTACTGAGCGCACCTCGCAGCTCGCGGGATTTTCAATTACGCAGACATTTCAAACCGTCACAGTATCTGAACGGACCACAGCACGACCTCTCACTAGCACGGCTAGATGCAGACTGAGCTGCGCACGCTCTGACCCCAAGATGGCCGCGCTAGCTCCGCCCCTAGCGGACACAGACGGAAACGTAATCTACTTCCTGGATGGCCCTCGTATGTATTATCACATTTCTCTTCTAATTCTAATATATTTGTTTATTCTCTTCAGTGCAAATAATGGTGTTGGTGTATTTATGGCAAAGCACACTAGGGCTATCTGCCTAAGGGGAGGGATGCCTTCATGGAGGACTTTCTAAGGGAAACTGGCTCGTATACATGTTACACATGGGGGAAAACCACAAAAACACCCATGCAGCCAGCCCGTTCGTGGGATTCGAACCTCGGACCGAACTACCAGTGTTCAGCGACTTTACCGCTCGGCCGCTGGTGGGCTCAGTGCAAATAAAATTAAGATGTTATACATATACAGTGATACAGAAGTAAATGCCAAACTCTGTTTTTTTCCCAGCAGCTCTCACATAATGGCCAATAGTATTACATTTTAGAAATGCCCCCTCAAGTCCTACTAGTTGCCTTAATTGCAATGTATTAAGTATCATTATTGCAATTCTTGCAATAATGATATTTATTAAATTCCTTTTGAACTGTCCAATATATAACAATATAATGCTGAAGAACATGTGTTTTTTAAAGTTGGCTGAACATAGTGTGATGGCTTAACATGGTTAAAAACTTTTTAAAATTGACTTAATCGGGCATATATATATGCCCTTCCAAAATACTATCATTTGCTTTGCGCTGCTACCAGTAAAATCATTCACAAAGCTTTGGAATGCAACACCACATACACCTTGACAGAGTATACGAAGGAGGATACGATTTCAGAAAAGAAGGGGATGTTTCTGAAACGGTGAAAGTAATGACTGCGCAGTATTTGCTAGTGTTTTTTTTCTTTTTTTTTTGAGTAAAACGTATTTTTTTAAATTTTGTGTCTTCTGTTTTTGTTTACTGTTTATAGTAGGTCCAGGAATAAAGAAAGATATAACGGATATTTCAAACCCACTTATCTTTTTTGAATTATTTCTTGATGAACTGCTCATGCTTCATATTGTTTCTGAAACTAACAATTTTGCAGACCAGTATATGAACCAACATCCTGCAAAAGAAAAATCAAGGTATCCAACCAATTCAGAGGAAATATATGTTTTTTTATGTATACTGATTTTACAAGGTATAACAATGAAACCCAAAATTACACTTTACTGGTCTAAAAATTAATTGATTGAAACACCTTTTTTAAAAATCTTTTTTTATTATATGAACATCGTTTTAATTGTACTTTTACTCTAAAAATTAAATTTTGTGCTTTCATTTTTTCTCTTATTCTTTATTTTGTGAAAGTAAACAGTTTTTAGAAAGTAAAACTTGCACTTATTTTCCTCCAATACATCGTATAACTATGCGTGTCTATGTGGGAAAATGGTGGCATTGGGGAATAAATCTTGTCAATTCTTCGTGGCAGTTAAGGGGTTAATATAGTTTCTATTTATTAATCAAGCAGTCATTTTCTTCTGAGGTGCAGAGGTTTTCCACTCCAGGTTTTAAAAAAGATTTGGAATTCATATAAAAGCAAAGAACAATGCAATATATTTTATTTTTATGCTCAAGGACAAATATATGAAAATCAAACAATATAAAGCATATACTTTATGCTTGTCCAACACACAAAACAAAACAAAAAAAAAAAAAAAAAAAAAAAAAAAGCAGAAGTAACACTTTATAAAATAAATAAAATTACCTTTTTTAAGAAAACAATCTTCATTTTATAGCTACAGATATTAGGTATACAGAAATTAATTTGCAACTTAAGTACCAGGTATCAGACAACCATTTATAATTATGGCACATTACAAAAAAATATTAAATACAATGTTATTGCCAGCAACCAAACACACATTGTAATCTGCAAAATGCAAGACTATTAAAATCTGTTTCAACTGTTTGAATATTACAAATTTCATAGAAATTCACAGTATTTATGCAACATAGATCAATGCATATAAACATTTTTAGCTGTATCCTAAATAGTTTGAAATGCCTTCAATTTAATTTCTTTACTTCAAAATTCTACACAGGCAATTTCTTCTTAAAAAAAAAAAAAAAAAATCAAGTGTTGACATTTAAAATGTGTCATAAAACAACCAAACTTTAAATTATGCAAAACTTTTGAAAAAAAGCATAAAAATACTGAAAACTTACACAACTAGCAGCATTTAAAGGGTTAAAAGACAAAACATTTTAATCATAAGAAGCAAGTTAATTTGAGATAAAATCTACAAATGATTAAAAAATGATATACATTTTGAATGTATTCAAAGCCTAGGATTACAGCATGAACATTGGTTCAAAATAAAACTATGAAATAAGTTTAAAATTTACAAATACTTAGAAATTCCCTGACTTTTTCAGGTTTTAAGAAAATTCCAATCTATTCGTTGAGTGCACTTTGGCTGTGCTAAGAGGTAAATTAAGTATGGTACCACTTGAAAACACAAAAAAATTGCCAATTACATATGACATATATATATAAATTCCCCAAAGCATTACTATTAATAACTATAATAGGAGTTGTTTTCTTCACTGAAGATTGAGATTAAAATCTTCCAAATCTGGATTTAAAAATGTCTGTCCAAAATGTGTTTTTTTGGCAGACATTTTACAGCTAAATGAAAGAAAAAAATATATTTAATGATATTTAAAAATAAATTCAGGTATTTTATATTTATTTAGCAGCATACATAAGCAAAAAATATGTGCTTTAATTTCGTAATGGTATGTCATCATACTGCTACAATTAGTTTCAGGATTATGCCCGAGAAAATTTCCTGAAATTTGAAAGCCTTCTTTACTGATAATAAATAAATTTAGAGCAAAGAAGCAACATTAAATGATAAAAATAATATTAAAGTTAATTACTTAAAAATTGAATTAAAATAATCAATGATATTTTGGCGAACATAGTTGTATTAAATGGTTAGCCTAGATGACTGATCACTATTTTTTTTTTGTTTATTTTACTTCAAAATAAGGCATTTATTAAAAAGGGGGAAAATGTTTAAAAGATTTTGTGGTGAAACCCTTGTATACACTACGGCCTTAACACGATTTTGAAAATTGTCACCATTACCAAAATGACCCATCATAATGTCGCCAAATCCATTTATACCGTAGATAGATGTTAGAATAGAATACATGAGAGCTATTCTAACCCCATAGTACCATATACTAGTATTAAACCAATTTTGTTTCATACACAAATGGGAAGGTATTTTCTTCAACATGCACTGTACATGTGCATGAGAGTCTCTTTATTTTCAAGGTTATTGGAAATCAAAGTTCCTGGAAACTTGCTTTGCCTTTCTAAAAGACAATCTGATTGGAGCTGTGAAAAATGACTCTATGCCAGCTGCCCGAATGACATTCATTCCAATGTCGGCGCAAAACTCTTTTTTTTGGGGGGCGGATCGCCGTATGAAATTCTTTGACTTTTTCTGGTTTTCCAGGTAGCGTGGCAACCCTGATTTGGTTTAAAAAACAGGATAAACAATATAAAAGTACTATTTCTTAAAAGAGAGCATACATACAAAATCAAATATATGGCATATTTACTTTGTTATTATTAATTAACATTGCTTTTAAATGTTTATTACTGCACTGGCTGCTAGTATTTACATATAATAAGCCACAAAATTACACAACTTATAAAGCTAAAAAAAATGCAAAGAGAAATTTTTAAGTTTTATATATGGGTAAGTTTTATATATAGTTTTAAACACAGCTAAAATTCATGCTGCATACTTGTGCATAGATTAAGCCACAATACCAGCTATACACATAGAAGATAAAATTTTATAAATTTATGATGCAATAACTTAAAAAACAGAAATATTTGCAAATGTTTATGTGAATGTACAACACAGTCATGCATGATGCACAAATAATTTGAGAAGTTGAATATGTATGCCAACATTTAAAATTCTACCCTTTTAAATGCTCAAAATGTTAAAATTATATAATCTTAATCATGAATGAGCTTAAATATCACAAGGAATAGAAAAAATAAATAAAATGTTAAAATGGAATGTGCACACAATATCAGGTATACTAAAAAATATAATATATTTATAGTATATATTGTTATGTTAAAGTAATTATTTGATCAGAAATATGGAATTAAAGAATGATATCACAGAGATTTCGTCCCTCAAATATGCAGTCAAATCTAGTACAGCATTAAAGTTTCAAAAATTTGAGAGATAAAGATATAATGATAAATTTGCATAAGATTTATTCCTAAAACATAAATTTTCCAAGTCTACACTACAACCATAATATATTATAGAAGGCCTGCATTAGATTAGGTTACTTATTATAGCACAGCACTTAAGGGGTAGAAAATGGTTCAGATTCATGTTACACATCAACAGCAGAGAACGGAATAAGATGTTCATATAAAATATACTTTAAAATACATTCCTAAAAATCATAGAAAAAGTAAAATACCATATAAATTTATATGCATACAGTAAAAAGGCACTTCATACAAAAAATATTTTATCTAAAACATTTTAAGATTCTATGTTAAAAAATATGTATGTACAATTCTTTCACAAATGATGCGAGATGTGTTTACTATTTCCAGACTTTATATATTCACTACAAAAAGGAATTTTATGCATGTTGCATAGAAACATGGTGAGACATCAAATTTACATCTAGTAATAAGAATTTTTAACCAGTGTTTTAAAAGCTGCAACAAAACTCGCATGCTATCACATCATCCCACAAACAGTTTAAGAGATAACAGTAAAAGATTTAGTAAAAACAATATTTACATCTATTTATAGTTAGAGGAACATTAGTATAGCATAATAACACCCTCTGGATTTTTATTCATGGTAAGTTTTGGCTTTCTCCTTTCCCATGGCTGCCTCATAGCAAGTGTTGTAATAACAATATTAATAATAAACAAAATAAATGAAACAGCAGCAAACCAAAAGCTGTAGCCAAACCAAGCAGTATTCTCTGATGTCCACTGTTGCTCCAACTCTTCTTTTGTCATTACATTCATACGTAATTTTGCATAGTACTGAGCAACCCAGCTGAGTACACTCCCAGCAGAGAAGAGAGCTGTAAGGAAAAGTAACTGAGTTTAAGTTATCTCAATTTTTTTTTTAAATCTTGCTTTGCATAGTTCATAAAATATTTTGCAATTATACTACTACAATTTACACTCGAAAAATGACTATATGCTTCAATAAAATCATCTGTACACAGAAAATCTTCACAAAATTAGACATACTGCTGTTCGCTGAGTAATTTTATATTTGATACTGCAGCTGTCAACAAAAGTGTGGATTCTATTATGACTTTTCTTGGTAACTTAGAATGATAACATGAGATTTGCCAGATTTTGTGATAATAGTGCAAGTTGTCTTTATTAAGATACTGTAAAAATTTTACCTGTTCTTTCACAGTATCTGCACCGCCCTGAAGAGTATTAATGAGGCAATGCACTGTTGCCAAAACAGGCAATCAATGATATGCACACATGCAGCAGATTCCAATCTTGAAATTCGAAGATTATTTTCCTGATTAGTGCTTGTTTTTGTAGCATTTGAGTACTTTTTGTCTTGCAAAAAAGGTTAATGGAACTATGGAGTTTGTCAGCTAATGGAAAAGAAAGCATTGCAGTTCTTCAGAAATATGTATTTTGTTCAACAATACAGAATGCAAAAAAACACATTCCCTGAAGATGTAGTTCTTAATTGATGAAATTTTATGGATCAAAATTTGGTGCAATTCTTTGATTTTTTAAGTGAAAACAGATTGCCATGCATATGGGAAGAATGACGGTGTGTCCAGTACCAAGTTCTGAATTCTCACATTTTTTTAAGCTAAAAGAGATTGTTGTGTACATGAAAAAACACAGTAAAAAAGTGTTTTGTTACGGATATTTCTTGTACATTTTTAAATTTGTAAATTGTTTGCTATTATGTAATTCTTAACATGCTGGCATTTTGAAAACGGCCATTTCTTTCATGTCTTAGCTTGAAGAATAATTAGATACCAATATTTGGCAATTTTTTTAGAAGGGGATGCACATAAAGTGCGAACTTTCCAATTTCCTTTCAATGGCACAAAATCATTACCATTTACAATTTCAATAACATTAAAATACTAATTCAAAACACTAACTATAAAATCATACAGAAAATTAAAAAAAAAAAAAAAAATCTTGAAACAATTTTATAATGAACACACTTATGCAAGATCTATAAAACTGACAAATTAATGAATATGTATTAACTTTTCAAAAGGCCCAGATTTTGATATAGAACATCCAACTTTCCCAAAACACCATGAGTAATAAGCATTTTTTTTATTATAATACCAAAATGATCCTCTCTCCAGGTTGTACCACTCTTTCTTGCAGTATATATGCTATTTTAACTGTATTGACAAATTAAAAACATCAAGACTAACATTTTTAAACATATAATATTTATATATACATAAAGAAACATTAGAGGCTAAAAATTAAAAGCAAATTTTTATACCTGTCCAGTGTTACAGCTGCAAGATTAAATTAAAATAGACTTAAAGAATCTAAACTTAAAAGTAATTTGGAGTCAAAGCAGGGTTATTCCTCAACAATATTAATTATTGCAATTGTGCATAAGAGGTTTAACATAATATCCACAACAAATCAAAATTAAAATAAGAAATCATAGTAGTGAAAATGCTAAAAATAAAAATGCGAAAGGGAAAGATACATAAGATAATAAAAATATAAATTAATCTCCTTTCACTTAAACTCGATTTCAGAGCTCATCAGAGGAAAATGAATTAAAGCTTCATAAAAGTCACTTAATATGTTTCGAAAACGTGTATCATTCTCCTGGTTCATTCCAGATAAAAAATTATTAAATTTTTAATCTATTAAAAGAATATATAAAATTTTTATAAGACATTAAAATCCATAAAAAAATCGAATCTCAAATGTACCAGGATTTTTCCTACACGCCTTCGAATCACTTGGAAAAATGAATAAAACATTACATTGTGCTAAATTGACTACCAGAAAGAAACCTAAAAAATTTTACACTAAGCAAAAAGACCATTAAAGAAATCAAATTTGTCTAAAATCATTACATGCAAATCTGAAGTTCAAAAGCATATAAAGAGGACTACAAATATACTTTAAAGCAAACTGTCATTTAAACAACACTAAAAAATTGTGTGGTGCCCGATTATGATTTTTAATATCAAGAAAACGAAAAACTTTTCACAGATTCTTTGAATAATAAAATCAAATCTGAGCCTTTATCAGCTAAAAACTGGAAACCAGGTGGGGGAAAAAAAAAAAAAAAAAAAAAAAACTTGCTGAAATCTTAGGACGACCGAACTGTGTTCCTTGTAGAATTCAAAGCTGCCTCTGCAGAAGTAAAAAAATTGTAGTTCTTGGAAAAAGTATGCCATAAGCTTCAAAGTGTCCAATAGCAGATTTATTTAAACATGTGTTCAAAATGTCCCATCCTGTTAAACTTTGTGTGTGAGAGTGCCAAATGATGGGTGCATTGACTCCAAAATGGCGGCATAGCATGTTTTAGAAGTTTCTTCCACTGGCGTTTTGGAGTTGACAATCATCCTCCTCATAGGTAATTATTTTTACAGACTTCACCCAACATTTGGCATCCCCCCTCACAAAGTTTAACAGGATAGGGCATTTTGAACACATGTTTAAATACTTAGTTCTGCTATTGGACACCTTGAATCTTATAGCATACTTTTTCCAAGAACTGCAATTTTTTGCTTCTGCAGAGCAGCTTTGAATTCTACAAGGAACACAGTTTGGTCATCTGAAGAATTAAATATATTTTCGTTTAGGTTAGGTTATTTAATTATGGCAAAGCCTCAAGGGCTATCTCAAGGGCGTATACACATTACACATGGGGAAAACCATGAAAACACCCATACAGCCAGCTCGTTCGCAGAATTCAAACCTTGGACCGAACTACCAGTGGTCAGCGACTTTACCACTCGGCTGGTGGTGGGCCTATTTTTGTTTAGAATTCCATCCTAATATATATTTCAGTAAATTCGCATTTTTTCAATTCCCCCCCCCAATTGGTTTTGAGTTTTTAGCTGATAAAGGCTCAGATTTGATTTTATTATTTAAGGAATCTTTATGAAAAGTTTTTTGTTTTCTTGATATTAAAAGTTTAGTTTAGCACAATTGCACACCACCCCCAGTTTTTGAGTGTTGTTTAAATGACAATTTGGTTTAAAGTATATTTGTTTTGCTCTTTATATTTATTTGGTTTTGAATTTCGGATAATTTTAGACCTATTTGATTTTTGGTCTTTTTACATAAAGTTTTTTTTTTTTTTTTTTTTTTTTTTTTTTTTTTGAGTAGTCAATTTAGCCCAATGTTATGTTTTATTCATTTCTCCAACGCTTTAAAAAGCGTGTAAGGAAAATAGTGGTACATTTGAGATTTGATTTTTCAGTTTATAATGAATTTTAATGTCTTAAATGAAAATTTAATAAATTCTTTTGTTTTTTTAATCTCAAATGAACTAGGAGTACGAAATATTTTTCAAAACATATTAATTGACTTTTATGAAGCTTAATTCATTTTCCTCTGATGAGTTCTGAATTAGAGTTTTAGTAAAAGGAGATTAATTTATATTTTTATTATCTTGTATATTTTTTCCTTTTTCCATTTCCATTTTTATTTTTAGAGTTTGCACCACTATGAATTCTTATTTCAATTTGTTTTTGATATTGTGTTAAACCTCTACACGACTGCAATTATTAATACTGTTGAGGAATAACCTTGCTTTGACTCCAATTTACTTTTAACATTAGATTCTTTAAGTCTCTCTATATATGGTTTGGCCATTTAGCAGGTTAAATGAAGTCAAGAGTTGAGAATGAAATACAATGAGAGAAGAAAAATGTTTAAATCATGCTTTTTTAGCAAGCATCACATTTCATAAAAGGTTAAATTCCCCCTTTATATTAAAAAATAAATCCAATTAATATACCAGAATATTAATTCAAGTAAAATATTTGATTATATTTAAAAAAATGCAAATTTGGTTAATAAATAAATGAATTAGTTATTCATCATAACAGGTAACAGAAAGCTGAGAAAGCAAGACTTCAATCCTCCCCCCCAAAAACGTACCACAATATTCAATTATAATAAAAAGAAATAAAACTTATTACCTCCAACACCATTCCAAAGATACAGTCCAGCTATACCAGTTATGACTTCTACTGGAGTGACAACAGTATTGATAACAGCAAATACAGCACTTATTAAGGCAAACAACATGGCAAGTGCTAAACTCATAATTGTAAGCAGCCACAAACTAAAGATGAAAAGTTGAGGATTCTTTGCCATTTCCTGCTGAACTGCAAAGTTTAAAATAAATAAATAAATAAAATAAATATACACACATGAAAATTTTTCTAAAAGCAACATTCAAATGTAACACTTGAAAGGGCACTGGAAGAAGGGGAGATATTGCTATTAAAAAAATAATGTCATTTACTGCATTATACAGTCAAAAGTCGTTAATCCGGACTCATCGGGACTTCGGCGATTCCGGATTATCGATTTTTCCGGATTATAGATCATCAGTTTAAATCTGGTAAGATGGCATGCAGAAATCATAAAATTAAAAATATGAAATAAAGAACAATTATGATCTAAAGGGTATCAAAATTTACAAAAAAAAAAGCTTAATATTTATTTGTTTACTTTATTAAACATTTCTTTCAATGTAAGTTGTTTAAGTTGCTTCGTTTTTATGTGATAATACTTTCTCTTTAATTCTATAAACAGACATAATTTCTTGTTCAGTTACAAAGTTCCGCTGTTCAAGTCCTATAATTGCTGTGTCTACCGACTAATTTGTCAATTGAAATTTTTTCGTTTTCAATAACCTCTGTCACTTTTTTCGCTATCGGAAGCGAATTATAATGACGAGGAATTTGATTTAAATCATATCAAAGACGGAGTACATCGAGATGAAATACTACATTTAGTAAGGAATTATTATCTGCCCTGAAGATAAGGATAGTGCTGACAGATCAACTTCCAATTCATTGCATACCGCGGCGTTAAAGATAAACGTTAAAGTTTAGATAAACAAAGGATATGCCTTTATCCATTTTTTGCAGCAATTCCACTTTTTATTTAATGGATTTCGAAACATACTTTCGCTTTGTAGATCCTTTACATATTAATAAATACATATCAGAAATTCTATTTGACATAATCGAAAGTTCAAGCTTACTTTTATAAAATTGCTCTAACAGTCTGCAAAAAATAATAAGCCGGATCCAATTCGAAGAATAAGGAACAACGCAATCTGCAACATTAACTTAAATAGATAATTAGATAATTTTAGCTTAGCTTATACCGTCCGTTATACATTAAACGCGCACTCGTAAACGTATTTTGAGCACGTGCACAAGCATATTCGCAGCGGTAAAGGTCTTACGCGCATGCGTCAACGTGGCGCATGTGCAGAAAGTTTGTAGCTTTCAGGTCCGGATTATAGATCATTCCGGAATATGGGTGTCCGAATTAACGACTTTTGACTGTATAAATTTCCAGAAGATTCAGTCCAGGCAGACTACAGCCCATCATGCACTTTTGTGCCACCCATGAGCAATAATTATATTTTAAAATAGTTCATTTTGATAGTTCTCTAAGTAAAATGAATTTGAGTTTATAATGAATTTTTAATTTGTCACCTTGTGAAATATATTATAACTTTCAATTTTGATAAAATCAAGAAATAATTTTGTAGATTATACTGGGCCATACAAAAAGTCTCCGCATTTTTTGGTACATTTTTGAACAAAACTTTTCTTTATTGAAAATAAATTTTAATCAAATACATATTGACCATTATTATCTATGACGTTTTGCCATTTTTCGGATAGCTTAATGATTCCATCAGTGTAGAACTTCTGTGGTTTATCTTCGGAAAACTTGCCAAGTGATTTTCAGCAGTGCTTCAGTCAGCCAATTTTTTCCCCAACAAGAGAGTTTGAGAGTTTTGCAGAGACCGAAACAAATGGTAGTCAGACAATGCAAGGTCTGGGCTACATGGTGGATGCATTAAACCTTCCCAACCGAGTTCCGTTAATTTCTTTCTAGTCATTAAAGATGTGTGTGGCTGCGCATTGTCATGATGGAACACAACTTCCTTTCTTTTGGCCAATTCTGGTCACTCTTCCTGGGTTGCTTCGTTCAAACGGTCGAGTTGTGCACAGTACAAGGCCAAATTGATGATTTCGCCAGGTTGCAGCAGCTCATCATGGACAATTCTGAATTCTTTGACATTGAAATTTCTAGAACGGAGCTGAGCAAACCACTCCTGGGTCCTTTGTTCACTGACAGCATTCTCACCGCATACTTCACAAATTTTTCAACATGTTTTTTACCTTTTTTATAGTAAAAAACCATCACATAGCATATTTCTTCAGATATTTCTCTCATAATCAAATCAATATAACTTTTTACACAAGCAATGAATTAGAAAACTATCTTCACAAAAAATGGAAGTAGAATGTCACTAGATACACAGGCATCAACACAATCTAGTGACAAAAAAAGCACAGAGACTTTTTATATGACCCAATACATCATCATTCATTCTTAAGCAAATACTTCATTAGCAAGATTTAGATGATTTCACAACTGAAACAAGTTTGATGGCAGTTCGTTACCAAGTTTGAACAGAAACTGATAATATACCAAGTGACAACTTCAGATCATAGATCTGCAGTGTGACTGTCATGGCTGTGAAGAAATCTGCAAATTTCACAATGCTCTTAACTCGGCCAAATTTGACAAACTTATGCCTTTTGCTCAAAAAATGTGGATTATTTATGAGAGCATAGATTTTTCTGTCACGAATCTCAATAAGAACGCTTTATGATCAAGCATTGCTGATGATTATTTATGAACAGTGTTAAGCTGAGAACCTCTCATTATAACACCTGAAATGAAAAGATTTATAAACAATACCATTTGTTTTATTAAATTATTAGTTTTTAGACATTTTTATGCTACAATTCACTTTCCCAGATAATCTAAAAATATTGCAGCCTAAGTTTTCTTAATAATTGATATGGCCTTTTGGTCAAAAATTTTGTCCACACCTGAAGCAGACAAATACAGTAAAGAACCAATGTTCTATAAAGGTTTTTAATGGAAATTTTACAAAAGGAAAAAATTAGGTAATTGCTTTATTTAAATTACACTTTGCCTCAAAATGACATTTATTCTAAAAATCAATTTTATAGCAAATCTAACATTTTAATGAAGGAAACATGAAATCAAAGTAAAATACAAAAAGGTTACAACATTCCATCAAAACTAAATTTCACCACTCAAAAAGTTTTAAATCCCCCTTAAGAATCCTGACCCCAAATAACAGACCCACGAGTTATAAGTGTTACTGTCATTCATTAGACAAGTTCAGTTGGGAGATACGAATTGAAGGGCATGTTTTTTTTTTTTTTTTTTTCTTTCTTTCTAAACATCTGGTTCTGCTGTTGCCTTTACTTAAATTTGAATCATTATGAGCTGCAGAAAATATTAACAAAGGAAAAACAAAATTTTATCAAATATATTCACATATACTGCAGTTTTGAGGTTCATCAGTTGTATGTGTTATCATAGGAAAAAAAAAAAAAAAAAAAAAAAAAAAAAAGCAGAAATCATGCACGAAAATAAAAAGAAAGCTGGTTCAGATCATATGGTAAAAAGAGATATCTTTTAAAAACTTAAGAACATTAATATGAGGCTTTCTTCCAATTAGCTCTATTCAATTAACATTCAGAATTAAAATAATGAACACCACTCTAATTAAAAGAGGCACAAGAGGTTAAAATATGTTTCACTGATAAAGGAACATCACATGTTGCACAAATCGGCACTCTCTCGTTTCAGCACATATCAGTGTGTGATCGATCCGTAGCAGTAAGCAGAACCTCTTCCTTTTGATTTGCTAATGACTCCCAATACTTCACAGAAGGTTTCATCTGCATTAGCTTGTTCTCCATTTGACAGTCCCAGTGCTGTTGCCATTTAGCCAAGATCTTTCATTGCTTTGATATGTATTGTGAAGGGGACAGAAACAGCATTAGCAAGTTTGTTGCAATTGATGCCAGAATGTAATTTCTTAAACATAAGAGTGTCATTTCTTAAACTACTTCTCAAAAGGACATGCACTCATACCGCTCAGCAACAAGATGAATGAAATAACAGCCTCAATCTTGTTTTGTGCTCACTGGATAATATATGCCAGATGCAAAAAGTGGCACTCAATGGAGAACTGGAACAATATGTTTTTGGACACACGTGCTCTCACACACACAACATGTAGAGAAAATTATAGAGGGTGCTGCGCCACCACATATGTTAATGTAATTAAAGAGTTTCTGAGAGAGAGGGAAGAGAGTGTGGTATTAAATTAGCTATCATGTAATCTGTATAATAATGCTTGCAAATACATTTTGATTCATAAAGCAGATTTAGAAGAAAAGAAGCGTTTTTATTTACCGAAATATGACATCAAGAACCACTGATGTGAGTATGGAATTATATTTATTCCACATTTTCTGGTGCCATCTGGCTGTAACGAAGGCGAGTGATTTAATTTCTATCTGCATGCGATTTATCTTTGAAAATTAAAATGAGTTTCGAGGAAACTCTTGAGAGAAATAGAAAAATTAGAGGTTTGGTATGAACCAGCATTACAAAATTAATTAAGAAACTTGAAGACGAATTACAATATGAAAATCTAAATGTAGAAGCGTTGCAGGAATCACTTTCAGTATTCAGCGAGACAGAAACTAGTTATTTAAAATATGATGAAGTTATTAATGCTCAAAGCACTGTGCAAGAATTAGAAACAGAAGTAGAACATTCTTTAGAATACAGCAAATCCATCATTAGATGTGAATCGAAAGTTAATAGATACATTCAAAACGTTGGTAAAATTGAAACAACTTCACAAGTTTCAGAAATCAAAACTAATTATAATACTAAATTACCTTAGAAACTTTTAATGGAGATTTATGTAAATTTACTGAATTTTGAGCTCAGTATACAACTGCCATTCACGAAAACAATACACTTCAAGAGGTTGAGAAATTTAACTATTTGAGATCTTTACTCATCAGTTCAGCAGCAAAAGCTATAAGCGCGCCATTAACAGGAGAAAACTATAAAAAAGGCCATCGAAATTTTAACTGACAGATTTGGGAAAAAAAGAAATATTGGCATATAAACGTTCTGCTAGCTTTGGAGCTTGTATGTCGTTCAAGTGATGTATCCAGTTTAAGAAAACTATATGATGAAATAACGGTTCATACTCGAAGTTTAGAAA